AATGAAACTCAATGTTTTTCGTAATAATAATAATAATAATCATAATCATCATCATCATCATCATCATCATCATCTTCTTGTCTTCTTCTTTGTCCACCGGTGTCCTTAATTAGCCGAGTCATTAGTAAAGCAATACAGAATTGACAGGAATAAAAAAGTCTAAGCTCGGAAGCCAGAAGGAAGAAACGTAAGGCCGATAATCATCGCTTGAACATAATTGAGAGACGAGGTACATAAGCCTTCTTTCTCTCTCTCTCTCTCTCTTACGAGTATGTTGTGACAGGAACGATAATTTCGTACAAACGGTTGGATATTTCACGCCTGCGGGAGACCTGTCCCGATTATGGCTGCCCTTCTTCATCTCTTTCGTCGAGGTACATTTTACTTTCGATCTCATCTGTGATTCACATCGGTGTTAACTCAATATGCTTCTCTTATGCATAAATTTATTTATTTTACACCTCGTCTCTGTATATCTATGTGTGTTTGTTTATGTGTACGTGTATCAAATTTTTATATATATATATCTACCATATATTTCTCTTTTCTGTTTTCTTTTTTCTTACTTTTCTTTTCCACAGAATTCTTAGAATCTTCGTCATAATAAAAAATGAACAAACAAAAGGTATCGGATATACGTGTAGAGATATAGAACGGAATTCAAAGTGATTTCGTAGGAAGGAAGGAAGGAAAGAAGAACTATGGTTTAAACAAGGAAAAAGATAAAAAAAAAAGAAAGATTCTTCTTATCGAGATCACGAAAGGGGACTTTCAATAAACCTGGTCGCTGGGTGAACACGGATGACCGTAAGGAAAGGATTCTCTATCTACAAACGAACAGAAAAACAGAAAAAGAGAAAGAGAGAGATAGTGAAAGGGTGGGAATCGTGGTGGGCTGGGGGAGGGGCAGGGGGACGAGAGGAAGAAGAATAAGAATAAGAAGAAAAATAAAAATAAGATTTGGGAGAAAACGTGCGAAAGGTGTCGGGATGAAGAAAGAACGAGATAGCGTTTTACGACTTGGCGAATTTATTGGTAGGCCGGTAGGGTGGGTCTTCCCCCCACAAAAGTACATTGCAATTCCCGAATAAGCACACGAATAGGTGTCACGCACACGTCTCATCCTTATCTCTCTCTCTCTCTCTCTCTCTCTTTTTCATTCTCTCTCTCTCTCTCTCTTAGATACAAAACAACACCTCTAACCGGACTGACTGATTGTGCACAAATTTTTCTTTTACAAGTGCAAAGCTAGCGACAGATGCGTTTAGTGTGTGTAAAGTGATATACATTAATTATTAAAATTATAATTATAATTATAATAATAATATATATATATATATATATATATATTCATATATGTATGTATATATATATATAATAGATTTAATATATTTAATATATAATAATAATAATATTAATAATAATAATAATAATAATAATAATAATTAATTAATTAATTAAAAAAAAAATAACATTATTATCACTCCTATCACTAGTTACAAAGTGATACACGATTCTACATTATCGTAGTTGCGATCTTTATTTATAAGACGTTCACCACGATCACCAATTACATGACTAAGGTCTACTCTCAACTTAATAAACGTTTTCTTAAAAAGACTATAAATTTTTTAATATTAATAATACGATCGTTATAAAAGGAGAGATAAAGTATCGCATCGTCTACGAATTTCGTTATATTATGTATTCTTTAAGATACATATCAGAGGGAAGAGAGAAGAAGATACCAAAAGCTATGTACAAAGCGCGGACATCATCATCATCATCATCATCAATGTGTTGTTTCATTTCTTTTATACGAGATGATACGAGATACATTTCTTTTAAAAAAAGAACAAAAAAGCACATATAAAGGACGCGTTGTAAGGGACACTGTTTTGAGTTAAAACAAAAAAAAGGAAAAAAAGTAACAAATTTTGTCGTCCTTTTTTTCCTGTCTCTTTTTTCTTTCCTCCATTTCTTTTTGTTTTTATTCGCAACATTTTACCTCTCTGACCGTCTGATCGGCCACTCTCGATAATACTCGAGATGCCTCAGCTGGTTTTTCTTTTCTATTCTTTTACGCGAATTTCTTTCTTTTTCTCTCTCTCTCTCTCTCTCTCTCTCTCTCTTTCTCTCTTTTTTTTTAACGCGCGTGTACGTATTCTTTTATAAAGAATTTATGTATTCGTGTGCGCATGTGTTCGCGCGTATGCAAATAATAATTCGAACGAAATGTTTTCAAGCAAACAATATTAGCGAATAATACAAAATCGACAAAAAAAAATAGAAATCTCATTATTCTTATTAAAGAATATAAATTAGCGATCTACACACAAATGGTTTCACCATTTTTATTTTATTCTTGCTGCTTATTGACGATGGGATTTCGTCTTCGGAATGAACAGAAACGACTTTCGCGCGTCAGTGGGCGTTCCTACTTCTCGTAATGGACATTCATTCATTGATTGTAAAACGACTATAAAAAAAAAAAGATAATAAAAAAGAAAGGAAGAATGAAACGAAAAAGATAAAAAATGGACCCACGCGCGATGGGGAAATGGGGATCGGATAAAGTAAAAAAAAAAAAATGAAAAGAAAAAAGTTGCGCGAGTTTGATCGAGACGAGAATGTAAAATCGATCAGATATTAATATCGATTGGATATATCGATTGGTTGTTGTTCTGATGCCGTTTCCATTCGAACGAGCCGCTTGTATTCTCCTTAGACGAAATCTAAAACGACAAGTTTGCGAACTGTTAAGCCCAGTTGAAGTTTATTACAACCGATCGGCGTATATTTTTTGCATGATCGACGAATAATAATCAATCGACGCGCCTTATTTTATCGTCCCCAAGGTCATCGTCGCGCAGCGGCGGCAATGGTGGTGGTGGTGGTGGTGTGTTCGTAGATGTATAAAATATATATATATATATATATATATATATTATATATAACGTATAATATATTAATACTTTTATCGATATTATTATTATTATTCCAATGTAAAATGTTGTAATAACGAACGATTTATAAATCGATTTGTTTCAATCAAATCTTTTTGCTTGTTATTCGTAAACCGAGAAATAAATTAACGCGAAACAATTTGATAAATTTCTCAACGGTGGCACCAGATGTTTCAAAGTTGGACAACGACAACTAAGACGACGTCGCCTAGGGCCTGGGCGTGGTTCACAGTAGCCAAGAAAGAAAAGACCAAGTAGTAGGTACGTCCAGGATGTTGCATCCTCCCTCTTCCCTCCTACTTTCCATCCTTACCCAACAACACTACCAACTCTTTCTCTCTCTCTCTCTCTCTCTCTTTCTTTCACTACTTCTTTCTCTGGGTTATTACGTAGTCCAATTTAGAAACGTTAGCCCGGAGGAGAGTAGCACGAGCTCGAATCGAGGATCCTTCATGAATGCACGCTTCCTCGCGCCATAATTGTACGTTCCGAAGGATAGACATCTTTAAAGTTGGATTGTTATTAGCGTTGGAAGGTAGTCCTTTCCACCGTGTCGCTGTTGCTGCTGTTACTGTTACTGTTACTGTACCCTCCTCCTTCTATCTATCTATATTTCTTTCTTTTTAGAATTTTTTCTTCTTTTCCCGAATGATTTGGTCTCGTCGTTAAAACCATTCACCCACCGGCTGGCTAGTTGACTGGCTAGTTGGCTGGCTAGTTAACTGGTCGGCTTTGTCTTTGACAAATGGCTGGATCCCGCTAATGAATTCATCTTTCGAACTGCCGCAACAAACACACACACGCACACGACGACGATGACCACCGTCGAAGGTTGCTATCGATCTTGTTCGATATCGAGATTTCTTCTTTTTCCCTTTGATTTTTCTATTTTTTTTTTTCGTATCTCAAAGACGAGGACACAGCGTTGATTGACAGATTAAAAAGACCGTACTCGTGTTCCTAAGATGACGACGACGACGACGACATCGACGACGACAGATATATATTTTTTTTTTCTCCTCCTCCTCCTCCTCCTCCTCCTCTCGTCCAGTTTGTTCGTAGAGTGTTGTTTTTTTTTATTTTTTGATAGAAAGTTTAGTTTGTCGTCTGGTTAATAATTGGTGTCATCTAAAGCTTCTTTTTTTTTTTTAATGATGTGGCTGACGTCTAGGTGTTTAAGCTCAAGGAAATTGGATTGGGAAAGGAGAATAGAAGCGAGAATGATCAAAAGAAACGCGCCAACGCGGATCGAGAATTAAAAGGAAAGATTTCAAATGGGGGTGTGTGGGGAAAAACATGACACGAAGGGAGAAAGAAATAATCGAATATTTCGTATAACAAGCATCGAATTGTCAATTTTCACAATTTGACGAATTAATTGATACAACGCGCTATATGAGACTGTGTATGAGAAGAAATTGCAATTAAAATGATTGTTAATAATTGATTTGAATGAATAATCGTATCGTACACATGCGTACACGTGTATGCAGTTTTTAATATGCATCGTATACGCAATTTAATGAAAAGAAAGAAAAAGCGCGGTTTTTTATCATTTTTATAATATTATAATATCTCTGTGTGTGTGTGTGTACGATTTGTTATTTTAATTTTCTCTGCTTTGTATTTTAATGTTTATTTTATTTGTTCGGATATGGCAGGATGGCTTCTAGTACCTAGAGTAGCCATTTGAGTAGCCGTTGGAGCCCTTGTAGGGTACAGAGTGTATGCTCCTGTAACAGAGATCGTCGAAATCGGAAGATGAGGAAAGTATATTCTAGAAGGGAACAGAATAGTTCACTTCATCAAATTACTTTCTTTTTCTTCCTGATCTTTTTTCTTTTTTKTTTTTTTTTTTTTTTTGTTTTTTATCAATCGTATCGATCTAATGTTCGCGCCGTGTTAGTAAAAGTAGATGGATGATAAGGCGTATAGACGAAAGGAAAAAATAAACACTAATAAAAAATAAAAGGAGAAGTAAGAAAGGATATATAACGTAGGGAAATACGTAGACGATTCGATGATTTAAACAAAAAAAAAAAAACAAAAGTGATGAAATAAGTAAACAGCGAGAACGAAAGCTTAATATCGGATTTGCGTGTTTAAGGTAAAAAGGGTAATATATAATAAAGAGGGAGTCAAAAAAAGGGGGTAAAAACAAAAAAAAAATCGTAAAGGAAGGAGAAGGAAATATATAAGAAAAAGATCAAGGTAATTTACGTGTGTGTCTGTATATGTGTGTATATATATAAAAGAATAAGAAATTAGCGCATGCTGGATATGTCGTGGGGGGCGGTCAAAAATTGATTGCGCTTTCATCGTGCATAGAAAATATTAAAAGGGTGGAGAGGGAGTGGTGATCAAAGAATAGTGCGTGGTTGTAATTTGAATTGTTCTTGTTGCTGAGTAGTAATAATAGTTGTTGCTGTTGTAGAAGTTATGATTGTTGTTGCTGTTGTTGATTTTGTTGTAGTAGTTGTTGTTGTTGTGTGCATTGTTGTGTAGTAGTATGTGTCAAGGTGCAGGAGATTTCAGAGCTCCCGCTCACCGCCACCCACATCTACAACAGAAGAGAAAACAAGACCACCGCGGTTATATACAAGGTATCCATTAGTATCCACCAGTATCGAAGATTTATTTTATCACCTCAACTCACTCTCTTTCTTTTTCTCTTTCTCTCAGTCGCTTGCGCGTGCTCTCTAACGTTCGCGCAAGCGAAACAAACCATTCGCGGAACGCGAACAAACCAAAGAAAGAGAAAGAGAAAGAGAAAGAAAAAGAGAAAGAAAGAGAGAGAAAGCCAGCAGCATTATTTCAGTCTGATTTATGGGTCAGACCGATCCTCAAAGTGCTGCGCTTCTCTCCTTAGCCCCCTCATTCTCATTCTCATTCTCATTCTATCTCTTTCTTTCTCTTTCGTACTCTTTCACTCTACTTAACTCCCGCACACAAGTAGGCGAACACAAATTCTCCTACACTCTCGTTATTCGCACCTTTACCTCGATCTACGAGAGAAAGAATGAAAGAAAGAAAGAAAGAAAGAAGGAAAGAAATAGAATGAGAGAAAGAATAAGAGAGATGGGTGAAGGTGACACACGGTGCAACATTGCAAGGCCAATGGTGTGAAAAGGTCATCTCGGTAGCGACCTCCTTCTCTCGTTCGAAACGTTTGTCTTAAGATTCTTCTCTTCACGCGATTAACTTCAAATGATTTTCCTAGATCCGTTTAAATTCTTACTAACACGTTTCTCCGTGTGCCTATATATTTTCTTTTCTTTTTTTTGGTTATTTTGAAAGTTCACCAAATTTGTTCGATTACATCCGACACGATCCGACCGATAATTACAAATCTTTTTACGATTGATTGATGAATTTTAATTATCCGAACTTATTTTTATCTTTTCTTTTTTTGTTCAAATCAAAAACTCAACGCGAATTTAATTTTCTTTAAAAGCAACACTTCGATGTTATAAAAACGAGCACTAGTAACAAAATTTCGTCAAATCACTTGTGTAAATTTTTTCGATCGAACTCACATTTATTATTGATTAAAACTTTCTTCGCTTTTTCTTTCGTAAAGAACCGACGGAAAGAATAAGAGAAGATGGAAGTAGAAGTAGAAGAAGAAGATACCGTAAAAAAATCCGACGGCTCGATCGACGAAACGAAATCTTGTATGGGAGTACATAACCCATCGACGGGAACGAAACTTTGAACTTGAACAACGAACGGAACGAGATTCGAACGATTCCGCGCACAATTCAATAGTTGTTGCACTGTGTTACACGTTAACCCATTCGGCACAATTTCGTATATATATATCGATAGAAACAACAACAAAATCAATAAGATAGAAGAGAATAGATAAGTATAGATAAAATGGCACGAGCGAAAAAAAACCACTTTAAAGATATATTTAACACTATGATCATTGATTTCAAATATCATTTTTTCTTTTCACACACTGTGAGAACATGAAATATAAAGAAATAAACGAGAGAGAGAGAGAGAGAGAAAAAAAGACACATAGAATCTATATAGAATTTATTCTTTAACATCAAACAATCCCACAAACAACCCGAAAATAAAAAAAAAGAAAAATAAAAAACAAAAAGATAGTTTTATAGAAAAATAAAGAGAAATAGAAATAGAAATAGAAATAGAAATAGAAAAGAAGAGAGTAAAGAGAGGTAAAAAAGAAGGTGTGTTTCCCCCATTCGAAAATGATGGAAAGAATGATGAAAAATATAGGATAATATTAAAAATGAGATTGATGAGAGATACCTGTGCTGCTTGAGATTATCCTGCCGCTTGAAGGACTTTCCGCAGACCTCGCAGGTGAAGGTCACATCGTCCTTGTGACTACGCTCGTGAATCATTAGATTGTAAGGTTTGGTGAAGCGCCGCTGGCAGTACTTGCAGACGAACTCTACGGTGCACTTGGCGCGCATCTTCTGCCGCCGGCCGAACTCCCTGCCGTGCCCCTCTGTCTCCATCGGCATTATCGCGAACATCCTTATAAATTCCCACCGCTCCTTCTCTTGGTCTCGACCCTCTCTCTCTCCTTCTTGCTCGGTTCCCTTGCTAACTCTTTCTCTCTCTTTCTCTCTCTCTCTCACTCGTACGCTCGCTTACCCGTTCGTTCGTTCGTTCGTTCGTTCGCTTGCTCACTCTTTCTCTCTCTCTCTCTCTCTCTCTCTTTCTCTTTTTCTCTCCCTCTTGGACCAAGATCTCTCCCACTGTCTCCTTTTCCCTCCTCACGCTCTCTGACTAACGCCTCGAGAGTCCTTCCACCACTTCTCCACAAGAGACGACGACGTATACCTTCCTTCCTTCTCTCTCTCTCTCTCTCTTTTTCTTTTTCTTTTTCTTTCTCTCTCTTTTTACAAGTTCTGCAAGATCTCTCTTTCTCTCTTTTCTGCCTCCCGCACAGCTAGGCAGCCTCTCGAGACCGGCTGCGTGCGATTACCACGAGTGAGATCACTGCTTATACCCGGACCCGAACGATTCGTTGTCCTCGTCCTCGTCCTCGTCGTCGTTGTCGTTGTCGTCCTCGTCCTCGTCCTCCTCTTCCACTACTTCTTCTTCTTCTTCGGTGAGCAAGCTCTACGCTACTACCTGCAAACGAAAAAACAAAATCACGTTCGATGACTTTACGCCAATGATTTTTCGTATTCCCCTCCTCCTCCTCCTCCTCGTCGTCGTCGTCGTCGTCATCGTCGTCGCCCTCCCTCTCCTCCTCCTCCTCCTCCTTCTTCTCCTCCTCCACCCTGTCTTCTCGATCGTTACCACCCATGTCGAAGGTTGCGAGACTGCGTTGGACGACGTTATACGAGGTACTTTATTGGCCCGAGAAGATAACGTGACTCGAGATAACCCGCCCTCGACTTTCTGTCTTTTTTATCTTTCATTCCTTTTTTTATTTTCTTCTCCTTCTTATTCTTTACTTTATTTCTTTTTTTTCCCTCCCCTTTTTCCTCTATTTTTAATTCTTTCCAAGATCATTCTCTTTCTATCTCTCTCTCTCTCTCTCTCTCTTAAGAAAAGGTTTTCGAATCAATCGAATTTTCGATAATTCTCGAACGCGATGATCGGTTTTCGTAAATCGATCCTATTCGCATAAGTGTATGTATGCATTTATGCATGAAATTTGCTCGTAAAATCATCCTAATCGAAAGGGAACGCACTTATCTGTTAATATATTATATACCCCGACACTTTATAATATAATAAGAATAAATTAATACATTTTTAAAAACACAGTTTCGAAATAACTCGAATTATAATTATTTTCAATTATTACATTTTCACGATTCTATATATAATCGACACGCGTGTGATATTATTATTATAATTTCGTGTCATAGATGAACGAAGGGAATTTGTGTCGTGTCGTATTTATATCGTAAATATTTCTTTCGTAATATTACGAGAAATAATTTTTCTTTTTCTTTTTTTCTTTTTTATTCATTATAATACACACAGTCGATTGTAAAGATTTTTATATCGCGACTTATTATCGCACCATTGTATTATTTTAAATCATCGATTATGCGTCCATCCATTCCCCCTCGTCTATCTTACGCAAGTGTATTATGTAAAAGCTAGACAAGTATAGTAGTACCTCAACTAGACTTAACACTCGACTCATCTCGTAAGATTCAGATAAAATATAATACTTATGTACTAACGCTTAGAATCCTCTTTTCAAAGAGATAAAGAGAGAGAGAGAGAGAGAGAGAGACTAGCCGACCGTGTGCCGATCATTTTGTAGTCGGTCACGCGTTGTAACGAATCCTTGTTCTTATTGCGTGAAGTAAAGAAGAATTATGAGCAAGCATGAATTACGAGTCGGGATATGTCGGAGGGAAGCAACCTTAAAGTCTTCGCAATAATGTCGGCCGTTAAGTATTCTGTTTTGCGCTTCAAGATCGATTCCGAAGAAGAAGAAGAAGAAGAAGAAGATGAGAAAAAAAGAAAGCTCACACTCTCTCTATCTCCCTCTTTCTTTCTTTATTTCTATCTATCTTTCTTATGAATACATATACAAATGGAGTGGACATAAATTATCATCATCCAACGCGGTGATCTTCTCTATTATTAGAAAACTCATCTCGCGTAGGATGACTCCATCATCGCGATTAACGAGTCTTCCTTTCCTTCTCTATCATATATTATTTTATTTTATTTTATTTTATTTTATTTTCCATATAATTCTTCTTTTTTTTTCTCTCTCTCTTTTTAATAATAATAAGGATCGAAAGACCTGTTAAGTAAGTAATAAGGATTGAAAAAAAGATAATGGAAGTTGAGTATAATAGATCCCTCGGGGGGTCTAAAATCCCATTGTGGTTTAAAATTCCCCACCCCCTTTCTCTCCTAACCCCCATACAGAGATATACACTAGCACGTATACACTAGCTAACACATTGATATATAAATACATATAGGATATAATATAATATATACGTGTATACATACACAGAAGCTAAAAGCAAAGGTGGTGCTACTGTAAGGTATCCTGAACGAAACAGGACGCACGCTCGAATAAAGTGGCGTGTCCGAATGAGTAATAAGCGTGGCTGGGCGTAGCCCACTTGGTTAGCGATGCTAAAGGCTCAAAAGTGGGGGCCTAATCCGAGTGGCGTGTTACGCACGAGTCACGCTTCTCCCTCCTCTCCCTTAGTTTCTCCTCTTATCCCCTTATCCCCCTATCCCCACCTTACAACCACCCCACTTCACCAACCCCCACCACTCCCATTCACAAGTTACCCGTTTAAAAACGCGAACGCGTCAGATTGGGGCGGGTCTTTCCATCTTCTTATTCTTATTCTACTTCAACTTCTTCTTCTTCATTTTTTTTTTCTTTTCATCTTTGCTTCAAGTTCCTAGACTTTTTTATTACTATTTCCTTTTTTTTTTTGTTACGCGAACCATACCGTATCTAATCGGATCAACCTAAATCCCCACACCCCCGCCTCTCCTATCTTTATATAGGCTAATGTATGATAATTTATGATAATACACCGAGTTTTATATTAGCTCGTTTCTTTTTTTTCTTTTTTTTGTCGAACCATCTCTCTCACTACCGTTGCTTCTAAATCATCTAATGTATTATACTTCTCTTACGTGGAGAGAGTGTATGTGTGTGTGCTGGCTACCGTGTATAATTTTTTTTTTCTTCATCATCTTTTTAAGATACATGAGAAATAATGATGGATCGGTATGATAGAGATATTTAATGTACCTTGTTGTTGATCGCACAACTTGCCGATTGTATGCGTGCGTGTTTGTATGTGAGAGAGAGAAAGAACATGTTTAGAAAGGTCGGAGCGAAAGCAACCGGTGAAACCGACGAAAATTTGCTAGACAAATAGAGACACGATAGCTCTTCCTGTTAAAAGCCAAAGGTAGATAGGTAAATAGATAAATAGATAGATAGTTGGATAGATAACTTATATTATGTGATTTCTCTGTCGTAAGTGCAAGTTAACTTAAGAACTAAGTGTGCAAACTGTAAAGTTTATGCAAATACTTTTGAAAGGTGATAACATCTAGTCATTTGTTTTTTACCACATTTTTACCATAACGATCTGGAAATATGATGATGGTTCTCGACGCGATGGTTAATATAATAAAAATAATAATAATAATAATAATACTCGTTTACTCTCATAGTTTGTCAAGGAAAGCGGATGTCGATAATATCAATTTTGTTCTTTACACACATTGTTCTTTACCTTTGTAATTATTATTCGTCGTTTCTTCATCTCTAACAATAAGAATTACCGAGAAACTTTCTATACGCGAGAATTTTCTCCGAGAAAATCGACGTCGAAAAATTTGTCGTACAAGGGTCGGGGCGAGGCATAGAAAATAGAAACATGTCGTGCACGTTACATAAATAATGTAAATTTCATCCTAATTTCACGTGACCCATAAATATCGTTTGACAAATTACGGAGGAAGAAAAAATACCTCTTCCTCCTCTAAAAAAAAGAAACCAAAATGACGTCTCGCGTGGAATAGTGAAACGACTTCCTCGTGATACGAATAACCCATGCTTTTCACCGTGGAGGATTAGATAAATAGATAGATGGATAGATAGATACCGTAATATGTACGTGAATACATATATGAGTATTTACTATACCACCATGTGTCATGGTTGGACCTCTCGTGATCTGGTTATATACGTGTCTTGAAAATACGATTGAGCTATCGTTTTCTAGTCCTACTCGTTTATACATTACCAAGAAGAATTTCAACGAGTGTATAGAAAAGGAGAAACTAGAAAATATTCTTATTGTGGTCATATATATCCGTCTCTCGTAATTTTAACAAAATACAAATATATATATATATAAAGAGATAAATTTCGTATAAACGAAAACGAATAATAAAGTTTAACGTCAATTTTTATATAATTATACACGAGTATTGAATATACTTTTCATAAATTTTACTAGATTATAAAAAAATTATATTAGAAAAAAGAAAGGAGAATTTTGTTGACCATGAAATTTGAACGAAGAAAAAGAAAAGGAAAAAGAAATAGAAGAAGAAGAAGATCATGATAACGATGATGATGATGATGATAAGAGGAAAAAGATAAAAAAAAAAAAAGAATAAAATTGGAAGGGATCAGTTTTCCTTTAGGGAACACGCGATACGAAGGATTGTATCGCGTAGGGTTTGACGGAGGGAGCGAGTAGCAGCCAACCAAAGAAGCCCGCTGGGAATAGCCAACCAAAGAGAGGCCGAGCGATGTGCGTGTGCACTCGTTCTCGCGTGCACGTTGGTATAAAGAAGGGAGATGTAGAGAGGGAGGGAGAGAAAGAAAAAGAGAAAACAAGAAAGAAACGGGGAGAGAACGCGAGAGAGAAAGAGAGAGATAAGTCTTTGGTTCGTTCAGCACGCAGCGGAGGACGGTAGCCAACCAAAGAGAAGATGCTACTGTGCACCGCCCTACCATCGGCTACCGGTTTTGGGCCACTCGCTGCTGGTGCTGCTC